AGTGGGTATAGATTGGGGAGAACTGACTGTCCAGGCTGCTGGGAGGAAGCACCTGGAAAGAAATGAAGGTGAAATTTTAGTTGAGTCTTGATAGCCACCGGGAAAATTTTGGTTTTGTTTTGTGGTGCTAGGGATCCAGCCCTCCCATGTGCTAGTGCTAGCTAAGTGCTCTACCCTGGAGCTATAGGCCCGCCTCAGGTCAGTTTTTAACAGCTTGCTCTGGAGCCCTGTAGCTGCAGTCCTGCCAGCAGAGGCTTCTGGCTGCAGGGTGGAATATTGGAAGTTCGGCCCTGGGTCTCTAGGAAATGAGTTTGTGAACTGACATTGTGATGAGTAATGTCCCCTAACTGTAAAACGAGAAGGGTGGTGCTGAGAAAAATGAAGCGCATGAGCTCTCCTTTTGAGAAAGGAAATTCTGAAATCAAAACTTCAAGTCTACCTGGCCATGGTGGCAGGTCCCTGCAACCCCAGCACTAAGGAGACTAAAGCAGGAGGATGACCAGGAGTTCAAGGCGAGCCTGAGCTACATGTAGTGAGTTTAAGGTCAGTCTGAACTACACAGTGAGTTGTCTCCAAAAACAACAAAATAAAACAAAACCTATGAATCTCCCATACAAAATTTTTAAATTATCAACAAATTACTTGAGGTTATTATGTTTTTATTTTATTCAAGCACTATCCTGTAAAGTGTCTTGGTCTGTTTTCAAAATCTGCAAGCTTTTGAATGGAGCAGAGATTTGGTTTAGATGAAAAGATAAAAGAGATACTTAAAGCAAAACCAAACAGCTAAGCTCAAATTCTTCCTTCCTTCTTTTTTTTTTTTTTTAATCTTTGCAGTGCTGGAGATGGAACCCAGGGGCTTGCACATGCTAGCCAGGCGCTCTATCACTAAGCTGTACACACCAAGACCCTTTGCCTTTTTTTTTTTTTTGAGACAGGGTCTCACTATGTAGTTCAGACTGCTCTGGAACTCACTGTGTAGCCCAGGCTGGTCTCGAACTCGCAGCGATCCTCCTGCCTCAGACTCCCGAGTGCTGGGATTACAGGCATGTGCCACCATGCCCAGCCCACTTTGCCTTTTTAAAATAATTTTCTGTGGTCCTGGGGGATTGAACTGAGGACCCTCATGCTAAGCTACATTTTGAGTCAGTAAGTTGTTCTGGGTGGGCTGAAACCTATGCATCTCCTGCCTCAGCCTCCCAGAGTGTTAGCCTGCCTTTTTTTATTAATGATAGATTCCTTTGTGGTGTTTTCCTCCCATGAAATGCAAAGAGATAAGGACTGTCTAATGATCAAATTGGTTTATTGCAGAGCCTGGATTCACCTAAGTCTAAATGGTGAGCCTTTATACCTATTTGGATAGCAGAGTTTGTAAAACCTAAGTATCTCGAAAAGATACACAACCTGAGTCATGTAGTGGTTGGTCACACTCTGTGCTTATTGTTTATCAGACATAACAGACCTTAAAATTAATTGTTGCATTCATAATTACTTTCTGCCAGGAGCTAAATTCTTTGTTGACCAAATACGTGTAACTGCTGGGAACGGGGAGGGGGTGGTGGTGCACACCTATAATCTCAGAACTTGGGTGGCTCAGGCAGGAGGATTGCTGAGTTTGAGCCCAGCCTGAACTACATAGTAAGATCCTGTCTGAAAAAAACCATCTACATCTGTCTTCTTGTCAAGTCACACATGACCTCTACATTGCTCAAGTCCACTGGTCCATTATCTCAGCAGTCCGTGATACAGCTTGCTACTCTCTTCTCTAGAAATGCTCTTTGCCTGCCTTCCGGAACACTGTACTCCCTGGGCTTTTCTTATGCCTCATGCACTGCAACTTGTCAGCTCCTTCCTGGTCCCTTCTTTCTTCCCTAATCTCCCAGGGTTCAGTCCTTCAGCACCTGCCTGTTACACCAAGGTATCAGTGTCACCGCTAGACATTCCTGTCTCAGCTTCAGCCTGTGCTTCTCTGGAGAAACTTGGAGCCCCAAGATCATGTTGGCTGTCCTACCTGGGGGCACCACCAAATCCTGTACGTACCCCTCCCCCTTGGCATAGTTCACACAACAGTATTATTTTTTTCCCCATCTGGGGCCTTCACATTGAGCCACATCCCCAGCCCATTTTTGTTTTTTATTTTGAGACAGACAGGACTTCACTAATTCACTAAATTGTTGAGGCTGGAACTTGTGATCCTTCCGTCTCAGCCTCCCAGACTGCTGGGGATTACAAGTGTGCATCATCACACTTGTGCTTCACATTATTTGCTCATCTTCTTTCACACCAAAATATGAGTTGCTTAGTCCAGTATTCTGTAACCTGTACTTTAACAGCCCAACAGGTTGATCCAACTCTGATTGCTCTGCAGTATTCCACAGTAAGGATGTACTATAGTTTACCACTCACCAATCAAAAGACATCTGGCTTGATCCCAGATTGGGGCTAGTATGAGGAAAACTCCTGTGGATGTTGGTGTATGGGTTTTTAAGTGCCCAGGAGTGTTCTTACTGGGCCACATGGGTATATTATTTTTAGAAGAAACTGCCAAGCTATTTTGTAGAGTGACTGGACCATTTTACAGTTCCATAAGCAGTGTATGAGATCTGTATTCATCCACACTTGGTATTGTCAGGATTTTGTATTTTAGCCATTCTAAAAAGTGGGTGGCATTATTGCAGCATGGTTTCAATATGCATTTCCTTAATGGCTGATACACAGGGGGACTGAACCCAAGGCCTGCACACTGAGCCACATTACCAGTCCTTTTTTTCTTTTCACAGGGTGGAAATCACTAAGTTGCCCAGGATGCACTTGAATTTGTGGTCCTCCTGCCTCAGCCTCCAAGCATACAGGATAGTATAACCCCACAGTGCCTAACTGAATGTTTTATGATGTGTTTATTTATCCTCTTTATACCTTTTTTTTTTTTCCTGAAATACCCGATTTTTTTTTTTTTGCCTATTTTATAACTGTTTTGTAACTCTTGAGTTTAGAGAGTTCTTTGTATATTCTGGATATAAGTCCATTGTTGGCTATGTGCTTTGTGGTTAAGTTCTCCCAGCCCATAACTGCTATTCTTAGCAAAATATTTGAAATTTTTATTAGTACAAGTTTACAGTACATGATTAAATTGTGGGTTGAAAATTGATGAAGTCCCATTTGTTTTTTTTTTTTTCTTTTATGGATTGTGCCTTTAGGCTCACATCTAAGAACTCTGCCTGACCCTACCTTGTAGGATTCCCCTATGTTTTCATCTAAGAAATTTGTTTTTTGAGACAGGATCTTGCTATATAGCCTCAAACTCGTGGGGATCCTCCTTCCTCAACCTCCCACGTGCTGGGAGTACAGGTATCCACCACTATGCTTGGCTCATCTAAACATTTCATAGTTTCAGATTTTATATTTTCATTTGCCATCCATTTTCCATTACTTAAGTTCATTTCTTTGCCTGTTGTCCAATGGCTTCAGCACCACTTGTTGAAATGAAAAGACCATCCTTTCCCACAAATAACTGTTTTTTTTTGTTTGTTTTTTTTTTTGGTACCAGGGATCAAACTCGGGATCCTGCACTGTGAGGAAGGCATGGAACCACTAAGCTAAATCCCTGGCCCCTCATAACTGCTTTTATAACCCTTGTAAAAAACAAAAAAGACACACAAAATGAATTGGCTTCTCTTGTGCATTGCAGGCCTCTCTATGCCATTCTTTTCAATTTTGGGTCAATCATCAGCCAATACTATCCTTTCTTGATTATTGCATTTATGTGTAAGTTTTGTGGTTTATTTTGAGACAGGGTCTGGCCATATAGACCATGCTGGCCTTGAACGATGTAGCCAGGCTGGTCTTGAGCTTGCAGCTATCCTCCTGCCTCAGCCTCCTGAGTGCTGGGATTATACTCTTGTACCACACCTGGTTCCCTTGCCTATCTAAATTTTAGAATATACTTTGTCTACATAAAAATTTTTGCTGAGATTTTCATAGGAATTGTATTAAACCTATAGATCAATTTGGAGAGAACTGATGTCTTTCCTATGTTGAATCTTCCATATTAACTAGTGGTTAACGAAAAGAATTTGGAGCTGAATTAGAAAACTGCAGGACTAATATGGCACCGGGAGCGAAATCTTCTTTCCAAGCTTGGGTCAAATGAAGTGAGACTACACTCTAGGAAACTAGAGAATGGTTTCAGGATCAGAAAGATGCCAACTCACAGGTGCAGGCTTACACTTTACAGGGTTACACAAACTGGCTTTCACAACTCAATGGCAAGACAGGAATTAGCACCCAAAGATGCAGGTCTAATCCTTTCCAAAGGGAAATGTCCAGAAACTATAGACAGGAAGCCGGGCGTAGTAGCGCACACCTGGAATCCTAACACACTTAAGAGGGTAAGGCAGTGTCAGAAGAAAACCCCGTCCCACTAGCCTTGGAGAGCCAGGAAACCCGCCTGCCCGCTGGGCAGCAGCATGTTCCTGCTCCCGGGTCACGGGCCCGCAGGGTAGGGAGCTGTGAAGGCTGGGTGCGTGGCGTGAGTCCCAGCACACAGAGAGACAGGCGCCCGTGAACTGCGGCGAAGTCCCAGGCGCCCCTGAAACTTTGGACAAGAGATCAGCTCTACCCATCCCTCTGCTTACCAGGGGAGCTGGAAGGACGCGGACACCAGATCGCCTTCAAGCCCCTTCTAGATCACGGGCTCCTGAACTCGCCCTACTCCCTGCCGGAACCCTTAATCCCAGTCCTCTGCACCCCTAGAATAGTTTCCAGTACAGCCTGTGAGAAACTGGACCTCTCCGCCTAGACGAACTTTAACCACTCAAGGAAGCACACTCGGCTCCTTCTGACCCCGCCCCCTGCCGCCTCTCTCCGTCCCAGTTGTACGCGTGCAGATCTCGTTACGCCGGGAAGTCTCGCGGTGCCAAAAAAAAAAAAAATCTTCGTAGGTCGCGCGAGTGCTCAGAAAAGGGGCGGGAAGAACGGGTGCCGGGAAGGCGAGACTCCGCCGGGGGAGAGGGGGTTGGGGGGCGCGTGCGCACTCTGCAGCTCTTCCTAGGGATTAGATCAAGCGCCCTTGTTGCGCTCCGCTTTCCCTTTTCTGTTGGACCTTACGAGTCGTGGGCAACGGTCTCCATCGGTCGGCGAGCTCTTCAGTGGCCTGGCAGGGAACGGGCTACGCGCGCGTAGGGGACGCTGTGGAGCGGAAAGAGGCAAGAAAGAACTGGGGAAGGGGGTGGCGGAGGGGCATGAGGTTGGAGGAGAGGGCGACCAAAGCGTGAGAACTGAGAGCCTGGAAGGGGAGAGGCTTCGAGCACGCCCCCTTCAGGGTGCACCCTTTGTAAAAGTGGGGCAGAAGAGGATGCTAAGTTGTTTATGATCTCTCCCATCTCGTGGCAGTTCCTGCAGCATGGCTGAAAACCGAGAGCCCCGCGGGGCCGTAGAGGCTGAGCTGGACCCGGTGGAGTACACCCTTCGGAAACGCCTTCCCCACCGCCTGCCCCGGAGGCCCAACGACATTTATGTCAACATGAAGACTGACTTTAAGGCCCAGCTGGCCCGCTGCCAGAAGCTGCTGGACGGAGGGGCGCGGGGTCAGAACGCATGCACTGAGATCTACATTCACGGTTTGGGCCTGGCCATCAACCGCGCCATCAACATCGCCCTGCAGCTACAGGCAGGCAGCTTTGGGTCTTTGCAAGTGGCTGCCAACACCTCTACTGTGGAGCTTGTGGATGAGCTGGAACCGGAGACTGATACGCGGGAGCCACTGACCCGAATCCGAAACAACTCAGCCATCCACATCCGTGTCTTCAGGGTCACACCCAAGTAATTAAAATGAAGCTCCACCACCACCACAGTCACCACACACAGCTAGGTCCTGAAGTGACTCTCTTGACTCTTGTGCTAAGTACTGTCATGGACCACCTGCTAGAGCCATGTAAGAACCCCATTTCTTCAGCGTGAAGGACTGAATTGAGGGTGGGAAGGAAATCTCTTACCGGGTCCAAGCAGTGGATTTTCCTTGTCCTAGACAATAAAAAAGTATGAAGTTGTGTTAGTGCCCTGCCACTTGCTGGCACTGCCTCTTACCTGTGTAATTCTGTGTGTACCTAATCTAGGAGAGTAGGAAACTTTTATAAGTGTTTAGATCTTGGAGGGGGACCCTGATGATTCCAGCCTTCACAGAAACCCTAGATTATACTGCAGATAGTGTAACAAAACAAACTGGTTTTTTTGCTTTATTTTTTATTTTTTCCAGAACTAGGAATTTAACCCAGGGCCTTGGCACTGAGGTACACCCCCCAGCCTGTTTTATTTTAAATGATCTCACTAAGTTGCTGAGCTGTCCAGGCAGGCTTTGAACTTGAAATCCTGCCTCAGCCTCCCAGAATATGGGGATTACAGGCATGCATCACCGTTCCCAGAGCAAACTGTTTATTCCTGAAGCAGACAATTCCAATGTCTGCCTAAAAATTTGTCATGGTCTCAGGAAGACTGGGCAGGTAAAGTATCCATTCCCTTGCTGAGGTGCAGCTGGGATGACTGTACACTCAGGATACGCCGTGCTTCTCTCTGGTGATAGTACCCAGGCCCTGGAAAAGGGAAAGTTCAAAAGATAAAGGGTGCAAACTGAGACCTTGGCACCACGTAATGTCAGGCTCTGGGAGGAAATGAGTTTTGACTTTAATTCCTGGTTCTGCAGGGTCCAAATGGCTCCCAGGCAGCTGTTTCGCAGAACCTTTGCTGCCGTTCAATGGGCTATACAGTGGGATAGACATCACTCCCTGAATAATTAGCAGTCCAGATTTTTCACATCAAACCAGAATCATCTCAAGCATTATCAAAGGGGTGTGGTGACTCATTTGTGGACCTCCAGAACAATATATTGGGTCAGTCTAGTTTTATTTTTTGTTTGATACTGGGGAAATGAACTCAAGACCTTGTGAGCACCATTGAGCTAAACCCCCTGGCCTTGTCAGTCTTAAGTTTTTAAGAAGACAAGTAGTCAGGGATTTATTTAACTCAGTAGTGCCACACCTGCCTGGCAAGTGCAAGGTCCTGAGTTCAATAACGTACTGGAAAAAAAAAGACAAAAGTAGTTACAATTTAAATGGTAATATTTTATTGAAGCTTTTTTAGGTAGGTGTATACAGTCAGTGCTCTGTATCTTCAAGCTGTGCATCTTCAGATTTAGTTGAAGATAATGAAAAAAATTCTGTATTGAACATATACAGATTTCTTTCCTTACTATTCCCTAAACAATATGGTATATTAACTATATAGCGTTTGCATTGTGTTAGGTATAAGTGATCCATAGATGGTTTAGTGTATAGGGAAGTGTGGTATGGTCCTATGCAAATGCATTGTAGATAACTAAAGTCAGCACCCTTGAATTTTAGTATCCTCATGGTCATCCTGGAAGTGACCCTTCAATACCAAGGACAACTATATGCACATTGTACCAGTTAGGATGTAAAGTGTGACTTACTGTTTAAGGTCACAAGCATCTGAAAGCCTTGCTGGGCATATTGCTGCACACCCATAGTCCCAGGAGGATTGGAAGTTTGAGGCCAGCCTGGGCTGCACAGTGAGTTCAAGGCCAGATTGAACTGCATAGCAAGATCCTGTCTCAAACAAACAGTAACAAGCATGCGCTCGGAAAGTTGAGGCAGGAGGATTGTCATGAGTTTGAGGCCAGCCTGGGCTAAGCAGTCTGTCCAAAGCCAGCCTGAACTGTATAGCAAGACCAATCTCAAAAAACTAAAAACTAAAATTAAAAAACAAGAAGAAACAACAATAACAAGAGTTGGAAAGCCCCTATCTAAGGGCTAGTAACTTAATTTTACTCTAGTTATAAAGGTAATTTGGTTTAAATCTGAAAATAACAGTTCCTAATTTACCAAAATCCCCTGCTTTGGCTTGTATATATGACGAGGTTCCTTCATGTGAGAAGCTCATCATCTAATTGGAAAGGTTGACAGATTTTTCTGAATAAGATGTGGAAGAGGGTCAGGGATTTAGCTCAGTGGCACCACACCTGCCTCTCAAGCATAAGGTCCTGAGTTTGAGCTCCAGTACTGCAAAAACAAAACAAAAAAGATGTGGAAGAAATGGCAGTAGCTATGATATGGAAATTCGAAGATGGAGAGGCCTTAGCTTGCTGGTAGGATCCCAAAAAGCTTCACCCTTGATCTGGGTGTTGAAGGATGAATAGGAGTTCACCAGGCAGAAATGAGAGAAGAAGGCAATCTGGCAAAGGGATTGAGGGGAGATTCACAAATAGCCTGGGTGTATTCAGGGACTGGAGGGACACAAGGCAGCTAGGAAAGAGGAGGTACTGGGGAGCTGAGGGAGACAGGCTGCTAATATTGTCCTCGGGCCACCACCACCCCCGCATCATCAGCTTTCCCTGCAAACTCCCAGTAGCAGTGTGGGGAGGCAGCAGGCAGCTGGACGGCCTGTGTGTCTCCCTGCACGTATGTGTTCTGCCTCCGTGCTCACAGCCTGGGCCCGGCCGAGGTGGTGGCAGGCAGCCCTTCGCACTCGATTTGTTTTGGCAGCTCCCACTCCAGCCTGTGTGTTTGTTGTTTCTACTCCATCTTTCCTCTCTGCTCACCAGTGGAGCTTTCCTCTGCCTCTGCGACATTCTTCACCAACAGCCTTACTGTTGCCACGGCAGGAGAGGCAGTAGCGGCTGCGAACAAGACTGCTGTGTCTGCAGGGAGTACAGGGAACCTTGTCTCCCCTCTGCTGGCCCCAGCCTCTGCTGCCACCCCCCCCATCAGGGCTTTTCCGAGTGACCTCCATTCAAGCTGAGCCACAGGGGAGAGGGATTGGGGACAGGTGTGTCCAGCATAGGGAATTCTCTCTGTCTTCCTCCAGGTGGGGGAAATGGCCTCCTACTTCAGAAACAGCCCTGTGGGCCAGATTCCAATCCAGATGCTTATTATCCACAGCACTTACTAAGCACCTGCCACTTGGAAGGATCTGTGTGGGACACCAGGTCTGCCAGGAGGCACAAAACTGCTGGTCTTGTAATGTCTAATGAGAAATAAGACAGGGTTCCATTTTGTTTGCTTTGTTTTGGTTTTGAGACAGGGTCTCACTATGTAGTTCAGGCTAGCTTTGAACTTGCTATGTAGTCCTGCCTCAACCTGTTGAATGCTAGGATTACAGGCATGCACCACCACACCCAGCCAAGAAAAAAATTTCAAAGACATTGCTGTTCTTATATTTGGAAAGTTGCTTGTAACTCTTCTAGCAGTAGTAAGGATTCACTTTAAGAGTGAGGGCTACATAATCCCAACTACTCTTGGTGCAGAGGCAGGAAGATGGCAAGTTTGAGACCCGCCTGGGAAATTTGGTGAAAATGTCTCAAATTTTTAAACAATAAAAGCAACTGGAGATCCCAGGTGCAGGAGTGCATGACTGACTGTCATCCTAGCACTGAGGAGGCCGAGACAGGAGGATCACCAAGTTCGAGGGCAGACTGGGCTACATAGCAAGACCTTGTTTCTAAATAAATAAATAAATGGATAAATATATCAAAGGAGCTGGTAATGCAGCCTAGTGGTTCAGAACCTATGGGTCTGATGCCCTGAAAAGGGGAGGGATAAGACTACTGTTAATGTGAAGCCATTTTGCTGAGAAAGGGTTTCAGGCTTTTTTAGTGGGGTGGGGTGTACTAGGGATTAAACCCAGGCCCTTCGCACTGAGCTATATCCCTAGCCCTTTATTTATTTATCATTTATTTATTTTGGGGGGTACCGAAGATTAAACTTGGGTCCTTGCGCTTGCAAGGCAGACAGCAGAACCACTGAGCTAAATCCCCAGCCCTATTTTCTGTGTTTTTTACACAGGGTCTCACTAAGTCACCCAGGCTGGGCTCAAACTCGCAATCCTCCTGCCTCGGCTGGCATCGATGTGTGCTGCCACATGCAGCTAGTTTCAGGTTTCTTCGTTGGGTGGGGGAGAAGGGAGGGAAGATGATTCAGCGTTGGACTCACACATCTGGATGATTCTGCTGACATGTGATTTTGCTGGGCCCAGCACTTTGTCCCTGGTGAGCTCCTGGGGCTTCTTCATCTAGAGCTTGGTGAGAATGGTGCACCTCACAAACCTGGAGACTCTGGAGGAGCAGGACAAGTGTCTGTCTGTTGAATGCAGCTTCTCAGGGAACAGATGTCCAGCTGCACAGATATGGGGTGAGGCACAGGTCTCCCCCTACGAGCCAGCTCCCTGGCTCTCACAGCACTACCCAGTATGGGTGGGTGTCTGTGTGTTTGGGTTAGCTGTGTTTTCCTGGGCTGAAACAATCACATATTGTTTTTGTAATAAGAAAAGGTTAATTTTTTACAAAGCCTGTTCTGGATTGAGCCTTTGTTCTCTGGATGACCAGGGACTTAGTTATAAAGCAGCCGAGATAACCTCATGAAGTAATTTTCTGTCCGATCCTGGAGCTGGTGAGTCCCTGATGAATTCAGGCAGGTGGCTGCCTAGAGGGGTGTGGGACTTCTGCTCCTCCTTCTGTAGGGAGCCTGAGTATCCCTGAAAGACCCCACTGTCCATGTCTGAAGTAGGCAAGCCGGGGTGGGCCTTTCCCTCCCTTCCAGCTCAGAGTCTGCGAATCTCATCTGCTGCAAGACAAATGTATTTCCCCAAAAGGGTTAAAATGATTTGCAGGTCAAGAATGAATATGGCTGGGTATGGTGGCACATGCCTGTAATCCCAGCACTCGGGAGGCTGAGGCAGGAGGATTGCTGTGAGTTTGAGTCCAGCCTGGGCTACATAGTGAGTTCCAGGTTTGTCTCAACTACAGAGTGAGACCCTGTCTCAAAAAAAAAAAAAAAAAAAAAAAAAAAAAAAAAAGAGAAAGAAAAAGAAAAAACACATGAGGTGTCAGGGAGCCGGGCGTGGTGGCACATACCTATAATCCCAGTACTCAAGAGGCTGAGGCATAAGGGTCACCACAAGTTCAAGACCAGCCTGAACAACACTGCGATATCCTGTCTGTAAAAAAAAAGAAAAATCAGGGGATACAAATTATTAGAACTCATTAATTCCTAGGGAAGCATGAACAATTTGGAAACATATTTGC